AATTATTGTCAAATGAGTTTCAATTATTTCTATAGGAAATTGAACCCTCTATAAAAGAGGTCTGGTGTGGTTAATCGAAAACTCTAACCATTTAGAAGATATTCGTAGTAGAATCCCAATGCCTACTGATTTTAATAGTTTTTCAATAAATATTTTCATTCAATTTATGAATTTTGACAATATTCATGAGAATTTTAAGTTATTTCGATAGAATGACGGTTTGCGAGTTATATCTTATCTTTTGAGAATGTATTTTTTGAGAATATATTTCTTTCGAATCAATTTTTTAACGATATTTTGTTTTTATAAATTTTATCACAATTTAGGATCGCAATTTAATATTTTTCAAAGGGTATATTTAAAATGTCAATCAAATTTCTTTTTTCCACAAAATTTATAATGTAATATTTTTTGTTTAGAGAATTTTAAGATTTAATTTCGAATGCTGGTAGTTCTGTTACCCAGTACTTGTCATACTAGCGCCATCTGTGGTTTTATGTCATTTCTGTGTTTCCTCTTATATTTCTACATTGCATATATAGTTTTTGGAGCTCTGAGTTGTGTCTTCTTTTGTATAACTAAAACCAATTAATTAACAGCTGAGTTTTAATATATTTTTGATTATTGCAATTCATCTGCTAATCACCTAATATGAATAAAGAAATCCCTTTAATTGGCATACCGATGTTTATTTTTTATCAACGTAATATTCTTAAATATTCTCAAAATTCATAAATTAAATGGATAAATTGGAAATATTTATTAAAAAACTATTAAAATCAGTAGGCATTGGAATTCTACTGCGAATATGTTCTAAATGGTTAGAGTAATCGATTAACCACATGATACCTTTTTTGTAGAGCGTTCGATTTCCTATAAAAATGATTGAAACTCATTTGACAATAATTATTTTTTAGTAAGTTACAAAATTCAAAACAAAAAATTATTTTCCCTAAAATACTTCAATCTTTGACCTTGAATATCTTTTAAATGAATAGATTAATGGAAAAAGTATATGAGACCATTTTTGTAGAACATTCAATTTCCTATAAATATTGACGATGCAACTGGTTTACCGATCTATTGGTGATAAGATATGACCATTTTTATAGGAGACTAAATTGAAAATGGAAAACTATGATGAGCATAATCTTCCCGTTAATATTAAGAGCTCAGATTTGCTAAGTACTTTCTAGAGGTACCCAGGAACTAGTTTTCGTGTGTCGGAACCAAAAAAATATATTTGATTTTTTTTACCCACCCTAGTATGTATATAAGTAAAATATTTGGATCATAGATACATATAAATGAATACTTGAAATGCTTAACAGACGATGAATCTGAAGAATTCTTGGAACTGTTCGACACGGAAGTTACATATATTGAGGGTGGACGCACTGCTACTGGGTTCTATACGGTTGAAGATATGCTGTACACAAAGCGTTTATACCGAGTGCATGCCGCTGGTTCATCGGTCCACTTAGAGCCCGTCGCCGTACATTTTGATTCACTAGATCCTCGATATGCCTTTATGCTAGACTGTGGTATTACATTGTACATCTGGCTTGGATGCGCTTCGAAGAATACATTGAATTCCAAAACACGGCTGATGGCAGAAAAAATTAATAAAACTGAGAGGAAAAATAAATGCGAAATCATACTCGAAATGCAAGGTAAGTTTATAGATAGGAATTTAGGTAATTATGCTGAACATACTTTGAATAATCTACAGGAGAAGAAAATGAAGACTTTTGGAAGAACTTTGGAGCTGATCCACAAGCAATATCAAAACATAAAATTCCCCAGCATGTAAGCAATGATTTTGTACCTTCTACGCCTCGCCTATATCAAGTTCAACTTGGAATGGGCTATTTGGAGTTACCACAAGTGGAATTTCCAGATCAAAAACTTGTTCATACTTTATTGAATAGCAAAAATGTTTACATATTGGATTGCTATACAGATTTATTTGTGTGGTTTGGTAAGAAATCCACCCGATTGGTACGAGCCGCTGCGATAAAATTATCGAGAGAACTTTTTCGAATGATTAATCGTCCAGACTTTGCCGTAGTAACTCGCTTACAGGAAGGAACTGAATCACAAATATTCAAATCTAAATTTACTGGATGGGATGAAGTAATGGCCGTAGATTTTACACGCACAGCTAACTCTGTAGCTAAAACTGGCGCAGACTTAACCAAATGGGCTCGTAAGCAAGAAACTCGGGCCGACTTAGCCGCCCTTTTTATGCCTCGTCAAAACTCGATGCCCCTAAGTGAGGCCGAGCAGTTAGAAGAAGACTGGAACTATGACCTTGAAGCAATGGAAGCTTTTGTGTTAGAAGGTAAAAAATTTGTTAGATTGCCAGAAGACGAATTGGGTAATTTTTACACGGGGGAATGCTATGTGTTTCTTTGCCGTTATTGTATACCCATTGAGGAGGAAGAAGTTGACGTGGATGATATTAAACACTCAGACGACGAAATTCAATGCGTAGTATACTTTTGGCAAGGGCGTAATGCCAGTAATATGGGATGGTTAACTTTTACTTTTACTTTACAAAAAAAATTCAAAGCAATGTTTGGAGAAGAGTTAGAGGTAGTGCGGATTCATCAACAGCAAGAAAATCTAAAATTCATGGCACATTTCAAGCGCAAATTTATAATTCACACCGGAAAACGAAAAGACAAGTCTACTTTAAAGCCGGCAGTCGAATTCTTCCACTTGCGGTCCAATGGTGGAGCGTTATGTACACGCTTAATTCAAATTCAACCAGATGCAGCAAACTTAAACTCCGCATTTTGGTAAGTAAACATTGCTATGATTTTAAAATAATTTAATTTAACTAATATAATTTGAAGCTACATTTTGTACGTTCCGTTTGACACGGAAGACGAATTGCAATCAGGAATTGTTTACGTTTGGATGGGTTTAAAGTCTTCTACAGAGGAGTGTAAACTCATCCAGGAGATAGCTGAGAAAATGTTCAATAATCCATGGGTTAGTCTACAGGTAAGGACATGTATATATTTCGAAAATAAACTCTAGTTATGTAACCGTTGTTTAATATAGATCCTGAATGAAGGCGAAGAGCCAGAGAATTTCTTTTGGGTTGCTTTAGGTGGACGCAAAGCTTACGACGCAAATGCAGATTTTATGAATTATACCAGGCTTTTCCGGTGTTCCAACGAGAAAGGATATTTTACAGTTGCAGAAAAATGTACGGATTTTTGTCAGGATGACTTGGCAGATGATGACATAATGATATTGGACAACGGTGAACAAGTTTTTTTGTGGCTTGGTTCCAGGTGTAGTGAAGTGGAAATTAAGCTAGCATATAAGTCAGCACAGGTATGTATGGCCCGAAAGAAACAAAAAAGGGCTAATATGATCTCTTTTAATTTAGGTTTATATACAACATTTGCGTATCAAGCAACCTGATAGACCACGAAAACTTTTTCTAACATTGAAAAATAAGGAGTCTAAACGCTTTACAAAATGTTTCCATGGATGGAGTACTCATAAGTCACCCCCGGAGTAAATGTTATTTTTAGGAAGCATATACATACTCTCCGATCTAAGAGGATTGTTAGATTATAAAATAATCCAAAATTTCTATCAAAGTTTTACAGGATCCAAGCACAATTTTATTTTTTTATGCGCGAGTTGAAGTAAGGTTGCCAAGTTCATGTAGATTTTAATTCAGGTTTTATTTAACTAATTGATTAACAATAGGTATTTGAGAGAATGAATGAATGTGTAGAGACTATCCCTTACACTGGCACTGTAGTACATTGAGGTGGCAACACTGAGCTGGATGAAGCGACGTCAATTTTGAACTTTTAACCGACGCATGGCAGCTAACAACACGCTAAAATAGATACACAATTCTTTTTGACATTTTTTAGTTGCAGCACATTCGTTTTGTGAGAATTGTATTTGACTTAAATTTACAATAAAGAAATAAATAAACAAGTTCAATAATTGGTGACCCCGGGAGAAACGCAGAATGAGCGACGATGGTAATAACCGATTCGAAGACACGGCTACTCCAGTTCATGTGGCACGGCTCGCCCTAAAGCCACCACCGTTTTGGAAGCCCGGTTGTGGTTCGCGCAGGTTGGACTCGGGTTTTACCCGACCAAGGGCTGTTATTTCGGCGATCTAACCCCGTTTAGGTCGGCGAAATCCCTCAAAAGTTGTACGTCAATAGGGCTACTTCTTCGCATACTTCTGCTCAGGGCTGGCATTAAGTCAAACCCTGCACCAGAAATATATACCTGCTGCGTGTGCCAGAGACGATTACACCACAACTCCACCTCCGTCCGTTGCAATACGTGCAATGGGTGGAGCCATCTTCGAGTTTTCTCAGGCATCACGACTCACAGCCAATGGACCACTGCGTACGTGGCCCCTTGCTGCGCCACTCGAGCTGCCTCCACGGCACAACAGAGTCCGCCTGAACAACTCAACACAACCACACCACAACACAATACAATAGACAATACCACAGACACAACAGACCACACTACAGATACAACTGCACCACCACCCACACGCACCCACCAACAACTCCTAGTTCCTCCGACAATCTGCACGGTGTGTCAATCCTGGATATTCCGTAATGTAACATCAGTCAAGTGCAACACCTGCCTTGGCTGGTGTCACTTTAGGGCATGCTCAAGACTGCGCACCACGCGACATTAGACGAGGGACTATGAGGGCCCATGCTGTGCTGCTCGGTCGCAACCCCCGACTGCAACACGACCACTAACACCACAGGGCAACAGCCTCAGCAACAGCAAGCACATCATGTGGCACGGCAACACACATCACTAACATCCCACATTCCAATAAGTCTCCCTAGGCACACGACGATTTTACAATTAAACTCTAACGAACTTCAGAGCAAGATCGAGGAGATAACGGTCTTCATGGGTCGGCACGGAATATTAATAGCTGCGGTCCAAGAGACGAAGCTGCACAGCAATTCAACACTGGTGGAGGCCTAGCGTTCATCACGCACCACACCGGGCAGTATCGTCTTATCGAAGCAGACATCGACCGCACGGATACCATCCTAGAATGTCAGGGAATTGCTATCCGGTCAGGCGATGTCGAGCTCGAAATATTTAACATATATATGCCCCCTGCCACCAGCTGCCCGGCAGGATATCAGCCTGAAATAGGTGCGCTCCTCCGAGGTGAAAACTGTATGGTAGTTGGTGACTTCAATGCGCACCACGATCTTTAGCATTCAAGCCTGTCAAACGATCGTAGGGGAACACAATTAGCTGACGATTCGACATTCTGCACAAATAATGACGAAGCACCCACCAGGATTATGGGCAGATGCTGCAGCTCGCCAGACCTAACAATAGTTAGCGCTGGTCTGATAACAGCGTATCATGGCGACCTATGCTGACTTTAGCATCAGACCATCTGCCCATAATCATCTCGATTGATAAACCAGCCGACTTTGCTTCCGCGGATCACCGGACCTATGTCAACTTTTCTAAAGCTGATTGGGAAGGCTTCGCGGATGTTACTGAAAGCGCCTTCGCTGCACTACCCATAGCAACCGACGTTCATGTAAATTCCGCAGGGTTGTCACTGCTGCTGCAGCCCGCTTCATCCCAGCGGGATGCATTCCCGACCCTCGTCCGAATTTTCCTGCAGAAGCGGCTGTCCTAGCCGATGAGCGCGACAACCTTCGTCAGGCCGATCCCGGGAATCCCCGTATTAGGGATCTCAACGCTGAGATTCGGCAACTAGTAAACGTACATAAGCGGAAGAAGTGGAAGGAGCATCTGAAGACCTGTAACTTCGCCTCTGGTGTGAGTAAGCTGTGGTCAACCGTGAGGTCATTGTCCAACCCGACGAAGCGTGACGACAGAGTTGAAATAGGCCTGGTGAACACGCTTTGTCGGACCCGGCCGGTCGGAGGCGGCAGTTTATCTTGCATAAAGCCAAACGGCGAGTGACCAGAAGGCTGCACAAACTGCCAAAACCTAGTGCGCCCCTTGTTTTCACCAGAGGTGAGGTAAGGGTAGCCATCGGGAAGGCGAAAGCCTCCAAAGCCATTGGACCCGACGGAATATGCATGCTGATGCTGAAAAATTTGGGTCCTACGGGAGTAGCGTACCTAACGGAGGTCCTCAACTTGTCAATGGCCACTCTCGTTATTCCAGACATCTGGGAGAGTGGTCTCACTGCTCAAACCGGGGAAACCAGCCAACAAAGGAGAGTCTTATCGTCCGATAACCCTCCTTTCCTCGGTAGCGAAGACACTAGAGGCCTTGCTACTCCCGTATTTTATAAACCACCTGACCCCAGCGAAGCATCAGCATGGGTTCCGTAAAGTGCACAGCACAACAACAGCACTTAACGCCATAAATACCCAGATAACTCGTGGCCTAAACCGAAAGCGCCCCTGAGAGAGAACCATTCTAGTAGCGCTGGACCTGTCTAAGGCGTTCGACACTGTCAGCCATTCAACGCTACTAGAAGACATACAGGCCTCCTCTCTCCCATAGGGACTCAAACGGTGGTCGGCGAATTATCTGAGTGGTCGTCACTCGTTAGTAACTTTTAGAGACACATCGAGCAAACTGAGGAAAATAAAACAGGGGGTTCCACAGGGTGGTGTCCTTTCCCCATTACTGTTTAACTTTTACATTTCAAAGCTCCCTCAACCACCAGAGGGAGTCTCGATTGCCTCTTATGCTGACCATTGCTCGATCATGGCGTCCGGGAATGGAATTGATGACTTGTGCTCGAAANCGCTTTGTCGGACCCGGCCGGTCGGAGGCGGCAGTTTATCTTGCATAAAGCCAAACGGCGAGTGACCAGAAGGCTGCACAAACTGCCAAAACCTAGTGCGCCCCTTGTTTTCACCAGAGGTGAGGTAAGGGTAGCCATCGGGAAGGCGAAAGCCTCCAAAGCCATTGGACCCGACGGAATATGCATGCTGATGCTGAAAAATTTGGGTCCTACGGGAGTAGCGTACCTAACGGAGGTCCTCAACTTGTCAATGGCCACTCTCGTTATTCCAGACATCTGGGAGAGTGGTCTCACTGCTCAAACCGGGGAAACCAGCCAACAAAGGAGAGTCTTATCGTCCGATAACCCTCCTTTCCTCGGTAGCGAAGACACTAGAGGCCTTGCTACTCCCGTATTTTATAAACCACCTGACCCCAGCGAAGCATCAGCATGGGTTCCGTAAAGTGCACAGCACAACAACAGCACTTAACGCCATAAATACCCAGATAACTCGTGGCCTAAACCGAAAGCGCCCCTGAGAGAGAACCATTCTAGTAGCGCTGGACCTGTCTAAGGCGTTCGACACTGTCAGCCATTCAACGCTACTAGAAGACATACAGGCCTCCTCTCTCCCATAGGGACTCAAACGGTGGTCGGCGAATTATCTGAGTGGTCGTCACTCGTTAGTAACTTTTAGAGACACATCGAGCAAACTGAGGAAAATAAAACAGGGGGTTCCACAGGGTGGTGTCCTTTCCCCATTACTGTTTAACTTTTACATTTCAAAGCTCCCTCAACCACCAGAGGGAGTCTCGATTGTCTCTTATGCTGACGATTGCTCGATCATGGCGTCCGGGAATGGAATTGATGACTTGTGCTCGAAAGTAAACGGTTATCTCGCCGAGCTTTCTCGCTTCTTCACTGCACTGAGCCTAACCCTCTCCCCTACAAAATCCTCAGCCACACTTTACCTCCTGGACGAAGGAGGTCAGACTCCAACTGGAAATTCACGTCGATGATACACCAATTCCGACGGTGAACAACCCGAAGATACTCGGAGTAACATGCGATAGTCTGCTCTCCTCGGTGCATACAACCGCAATTGTCAACAAAGTACAAAGCCGCAACAAGGTCCTCAAGTCGCTAGCCGGCAGCACCTGGGGCAAAGACAAAGAAACGTACCTGGCAACGTACAAGGCAATTGGCCGGCCGGTTCTGAACTACGCTGCGCCCGTGTGGTCACCGGGGACTAGTAGGACGCAGTGGATGAAGCTACAGACTTGCCAGAACACGCAACTTAGGACAGCGACAGGATGCCTCTTGATGTTGCCGCAACACCACCTGCACGAGGAGGCCCACATGCTCCCTGTTAAGGAGCATAACAATGCTCTGCAGGCAGTTCCTTGTTGGGAGCCACAGATTGTGGCCATCCAAACGGGCAACTCCTTGCAGAAGAGCCTTCGCCCAGGCACGTCAGGAGGCATCTCTACGAACTGACGGACGAAGTCCAGAGGTTCATCAAACAACCTCTGGACCCCACAGCTTATCGACAGGCCTTGAACGACATTCACAGAGGCAGTCTCGAGTTATGTAGACTCTCGACCTGTGAATGCCGTTCTGAGCACACAACCACCAGACGTGGACGAGGCAGAACTTCGTCTGCCTCCTGAGACTCGGACCAAAATAGCCCAACTGCGCTCTGGTTACTGCAGCAGGTTGAACTCATACCTGAGCAGATTAAACGAAGATATTCTCAACGAATGCCCGGCATGCGGAGAGTCGCCCCATGACTCACAGCATCTCTTCGTATGCCCTCTAAACCCCAGCACGCTAACGCCTCTGTCCCTATGGACAGACCCCGTCGAGGCTGCGCTCTTCCTAGGGCTGTCGTTAGTGGAGCTTGACGACAACGATTGAGGGACTAACCGATCTGGGCGGGGTTGTTGTAGCCGCTACAACAACAACAACAAGTTCTACACTGTAGTGGCAGAAATTGATTCAGCGGTGTTGGCACTTGCTAGCGACATAATTACGTCACCACCGGCTTCAGGGAAGTACAAACTCTCGAAAGTGCGGCTGATTACTGAGTTTGGGGAATCAAAAGAAAAACGTTTGAAACGATTATTTGAAGGGTGCAGATTGGGAGACAAGAAACCCACAACTTTGCCGCGCGAAAGGAAAGACTTGGCTGATCAACACATTGACAAGGAAGTTTTGAAATCGCTGTGGTTACAACGTTTTCCAACTAATATCCAGCAAATTTTAGCAACGCTCAATGACAGCATCGAAGAATTGGCTTTGAAAGCTAACACTATAATGAAAACTTCTGCAACAAATGTTGATGTTAATGTTGTAAAGGTACCGGATGACGGCATGCAAGCTGCTATCTCCGAATTGACGAACAGGCTAGATCACATCACACGCAATAATCAACGTAACTTCGTCCGCAACGACCGGAGCTACACGAATACCGCGTCTCATTCGCAACGACCTGTTAGTTGAACTAACTTAGTTCTCGGCAGGGCTAGTCTACACCGAAACATGACACTCTTTGTTGGTATCACCGTACACTTGGCGAAAGCGCAACCAGCACCCGGATTCCGACATTCGCTATCGCTAAAAATCCAACGCCAAAAAGTGCTAAATGAATTTTAGCAATTTTGAGCGATTTTTGCGATTCTATCATGAAAATGCAACTCTAAAAATCGCCATTTTTCGCTCATTTTTTGTCTTAATTTTAGCGATGAACAAAATGAACCCGGATAAAGTGAGTGTACTGAGTTTGACAGCTCAAACAGCTAAAATAGCGATTCCAGAGTTTTTTCGATCGCCAAAAATACTTCTTTTTCGCTTAAAAGCCTGCAAATTTGACGACGACAAATATTCGGTGCTAAAAAGTAAATCAACCAAAAATAGGTAATATATAGATTGTTGTTTGTTTAAAATACTCGATTAAATCAAAATTCTTGTAATTCATATTAAAAATGGAAAACTGCAACAGTAGAAGGGTGACAAATGAGCAAAAATATATGCTTGTTCAATATTTGGAAGAGCACAGGGAATTTGCTCATGACAGGTGTTTAAGCCGCCGCTTAAACTTAATTCAGCGGTCGTGCGCGCATCCTTTGGCCGCAGCGGTGTCAAATGAACTCCGAAAGAATGATTAACGAGCGCGCAGGGCCGCTTCCCATCATCGTGCCAAATCAGCGACACAGCAGTTCAGCCATAAACGTCGGACATCGCGCACGCGCCCTTCGAAAACTAGCTACTCAACACGGCTGTTACCCAGATTTATGAAATAAACTGTGTCTTCACATCTGTAAATATACAGACATATACATACATACATAGTTATATACTTTTAACTGAAAGTTTAAATAAACGATCAAACATTTTGTGAATTAAATCTAAAAATTGAAAACAGTCTTTTCTTTTATCGGAAAAAGTGTGTGTGTGCAAGGTGAGTGCGAAAGGCGACCAGTGGATTTATTCAACAGGTATGGAAAAGGTTTTTTTCGTAAATGTAATCGTTGAGGTTCTTCTTTTTTAATTCGTGAATGACACCGGGTGCAATCGTTTGCTGGAGCAGTGGAACCATCTTGCCCAGAAACTAAACGCGTGTGGAGGAGCCATTAAAGACGGTGAAGGATGGAAACAGAAAAAAGTCAACCAACTATTTTTGATGCGATCACCATTAAAAACATCCTTTGCACTGCCTTTAATAAACATTATTGTTTAATAGGAACGAATTTTCATTTCACGGTAAATACGAAAATCGTGTACAAAGTAGTTTTCGTGCTCGTATATTTAGGCCATGTAGTTCCAGAGCAACTTGCCCAAAAATTGGCTCCGTGTGTTTGCAGTAACCACACCATTGTTCATCAAATATGACCATAGTCCTTCCAAGAAACGATTGGGTTTGTGGTTTAGTAAATAATGGCTAGCAACTTAATAAACGGCTTGCATAGTGAATTAAGTTTTATATTTATTGCTGGTTTTCATGAAAAGCATTGCAGCAGTTTTTGTTGTTGTTGTTGTTGTTGTTGTAGCAGCATACAAATTCCCCAAAGACTTTTTGGGGAGTGTTGCTGGAGTGACAGTCCTTGGCCAGATATAAATCTGGGTCGTTCCGGTTACGTAGACCCGACTGTAGTGGGAACGAGCAGTTTTTTTGTAAAACAGTTTTTTGTATTTATGGTTGCTTACATGGTTGCTTTACAAACACTTTAATTAATTTGCAATCCAAAACTCTTCGATTGTACCTTATTAATTGTATTAATAAGTTATATGAATTTATAATAAATCGGTCAAAATAATTGAAAAGTTCTACTATTAATTTGCAATCCAAAGCTCTTCGATTGTACCTTATTAATTGTATTAATAAGTTATATGAATTTATAATAAATCGGTCAAAATAATTGAAAAGTTCTACTATTAATTTGCAATCCAAAGCTCTTCGATTGTACCTTATTAATTGTATTAATAAGTTATATGAATTTATAATAAATCGGTCAAAATTATTGAAAAGTTCTACTTACTCTTATTTTCACTATTTATCACTATTAAAATAAAAACAAAATTTGACAGCTGCCGTTGCTGCGCAGCGCTCCTGGCGGCCGGATAAAGTACTAAAATTTAGGCTAAGCAATTTTTAGCGACAGGGTGGACAGAATCGCGATCTTCGGAGTTCGCCAAAAATTCGGATAAAATTTTAGCTTAAGCGTTTTATCAGATTTTAGCATTTTAGTGATAGCGAAAGTTGGAATCCGGGTGCAGGTGCCGCTCGCCTTGTACTAATCGTCAACGAAGCGCGGAAAACTAGTTAGTCCTCCGTTTAAAGCGGCCACAACGGAGGCTAACACCAGCTCGTGCCGCCTTTAAGTGCGAGACAAAAGTACACCATTAAGATTTTTAATCGACACCGGCGCCGAAGTGTCTGTAATGCCCAGTGTTTCGACTTTATGGAGGCAATAATAGTACACCTGCACCGATTTCACTGAAACTTGATACGTGCTCTAGTTTTACTTAGAAATAGAGAATTATGAAATTTTGTAAAGATGGAATGATTGCCACGCCCTCTACTCTTGTGGGCGGAGACATTAAATTTCATCCTATTTCGATGAAATTTAGTTTTTAGTCTTTATTTTACTAGAAAACCCTAAATATAAAATATGGGAAAGATTGGATCACTAAAACCAAACTCCAAAACTCTCAAAAAATGTGGGCCCAGTCATTAAATGTGATGCAATTTTGGGTAAATTTTGTTTCCTGCTTTCCACACTCATAAAACAAAGGTTATACTATAAAATGACTTAGGTGTAAATACGCGCTTTTTCCCTATATTTGGAGAGATTTTTTCATTGTTCGAAAAATTCTTTTCGCGAAATTATGCAATAAGCTGAAAATCAAAAATTACATATATTTGCAAAGTCGCGGGCAAAGACCAAATTATATATTCGAAAACTACATAAAATTCTCTAAAATATTCGCATGATTTCAAGACCTGACGGACCGGTACTCACACTTTTTTTTACTCATAATCTTTAGCATCTACATTTCAAAGTAATTTTTTGGTAAGAAAATAGGAAAGTACCAAATAAATGATAAATACCTGAATATTCCACGACAT